AATCGTCATGCTGGCCCAAGAGCACTAGGGAGTTTTATTAAGGAGCGGCTTTGTGGGCCTATTAGCACGACCGTTCGAATACGTGGACGGACTAAATATAAGTTGTACATAGCAATTTTTGTTTGCTACGATTCCAAAGCGTATCTGACATCCCAAATAAATTTTTAACGGCATTTCAATAACCGTCGAGAGTCCCACAGACCTTCCATAGCGACAATTCAACGAACTTTGTCGGATCATGTCGCCAGCTTTGGGAGTTGCAAACTCGAATTGAGGAAGAATCGGACGCAATTCGCCAATTCCCATCAAATAGGACCTACTCTTACGGACGGTAGACAGCCTGCTGCTAACGACCGAAGAGATACAGGCGACTCTAGTGGCAGTGGAAGCCGTGCTCAATTCCCTTGCGAGCGCTAAGCGAGGACGCAAGCGACGGCGTGGCTCTAATACCAGTCCACCTGTCGGCAGAGGCGACCACGGACCAGCAGGGTTTCACCTGCATGAATCGTCGACGAACTGTCTCATCGCTCAAGCAACAGTTATGGTGGCGATGGTCAAAGGAGTGTGTTCTCGGACTCCAAGCGCAGACCAAGTGGCAACATCTCCTGTCAAACGTCGTCGTGGGAGAGCTGGTGGGTTTCGTAGGGGGCAAACTCAAAAATTGAGACACAAACCGGCGATTAGGTGGAGACTCAAATTTATATTTGTTAGGCAAATTAAATCATAGTTACTCGAGAGCTGCTTAGCCACATTATTAGGTTTAAAAAATTGATTTCTCACATAGTTATACGTTCTGGAGAAATCAATTTGCTTGTCGATGAATACTGGGCACGAGAAACGCAAGCCGCTGCAGCCCTTCTTGGCAATGGTAGCGATCTTACGGGAATCACGCCCAGTGAGACCTGTACATTAAATATGCCCCGTATTCTTATAAAGCCTGCAATCAACAATTTTCGGCAATGCAGAATCTTCAGAGTGCTTGAACGTGCAAGGTTTCTTACAGCAGGACATATTGACTACCGAGGTCAAAGATAAAAGGAATAAAATTTCGAAAAACGGTGCACAAAAATTTAGCAAGCAAAGGCTCGAAAAATATTAGTACACAAACAACTTTCTCTTTTTTTACAAACAAAACCATGTAGGAAGCGCATATATATATAACAATTTCGGAGCACAAGTAAAACACTTCAATCCCTTCAACTAAGAACTGACAGGACTGTTTTCCCCAAAAAATAAACCGTTTAGTAAACGAAGTATTAGCGAACTAAAAGGTTTGCAACATCGCCGATATTACAAAAGGTTATTGGTGAAGCGCCTCGAGTAAATAAAATCCTCCATAGAGAATTCTAAGACTATAATAGACATAGAGCCATCAATCTTGCAGCTGTTGAATTTCTATCCCCATACCAGAATAATATATATTTTGATTGTGACTGATATTGGAAACACAGCTGGACAACACAGTTGAACTGATACGTCATAAGCAAAAGACCAGTTGACTAAATACACATGTCCACACTCGAATTTAAGGCAGATATAAGGAATAAAATAGTAACGCCCAGGAACTGCAGATTCTAAGACATAACGTGACAGGACGGAACAGAACCTTCAAAGGAGGTAACAACACTTATGGGCAACTAAAGATAATTTTTAATACATTTTTGCATCCCACTTTTTTATTACTTCTCGTAACAATAACCACCGCAAAGCAAACTGTTCACTTTCATTCGAACTTAATCCCATTAATGGACGGAAATTTTAAATATCATGGGCAGTAGCCGAGGAAACAAGATTGCTTATGATCGATTTTCTTCCGTTTCATATGAAATGTATATGATTCTGGCATAGGCCATACAAAAACACTTTTAGAAACTGTTAAAATTCATGATAGACATTCCCTACGGATTGTAATTGACGACTTTAGTAAACACAAAGCCCGGCGGCTTTCATCGTAGCAAGGGACGAGTTCACACCTTCGTCCACTATCAATGGATGTACAATATTGACGAATAACAATAATAATAATAATAATAATAACAATTAATCTCATTGTCGTAGTCGCGTATTAGCAATGTTGTCGTCAGGCGCTGGTTGTCCGAAATATGATTTGGTTGGACAAAGTGATATATCAGCTAATACAAGTAACAGGGCTAGCTGCGCTTTCAGAATATTTTTGCACATAAGTTTTGATTTAATTTGAATACGAAACCAGAACTTTACCGCTTTGTACCAAAATACTCGATTTGCTCATAATTAAATAGTTTATAGGGTCGGAGCTCTTTCCCTTTTGCACATAACAGTTATATCCTTTTATACATTTTCAATGGGTTCGGGGTATAATAAATACAAAAAGGTACATATACACACGTCTATTTTTGGGCAGCCCACGCTAGGGCATATTAATTACGTCAGTGCTTATTATCCGATCTTTATGCGATTTTTGGGGTATAAATATGTCAACACGTTTGTATGTATTCAAAAGTAAAATATAATATACTAGCGGGTATAACCCGGCCTTGCCCGTGGCACGTATGTTATAAAATCAAAGTTTTCTAAAAGCTTTGAAAATGATTTTGAAACTGATCGGACGGGAATCAAACAAACTTAAAATTCACCAAAAAAACTTTGAAATGCATTTTCCACCGAAGGAGTTTAGATTTTGCGAGAAATGTGAAACACGTCTCTAATGATTTTTCTTATAGATCTTTGGAAATAAATTTGAACACAAAACGTCATCCACCAAATCTTCGACCCCCATTTGCACCAAGGAGGGATGGATTTTTCAAAAAGTGTGAAACACCCCTCAAATGAATTTGAATATAGATCTTTGAAAATTAGTTTGGGGCCGATCGGATGGTAAACAAAAAACTTTCATACAACCGCCAATTTACCACTGTTGCGGGTGGAATTTTCCAAATCGCTGAAATACGTACTTATTAAGTTCTTATGAAGAGCTTTAAAAATAAGTTTGAAGCAAATCGGACACAATTTAAAACGCCGCCCAAAAAATCTTTAAATCGCATTCCCCACGAAGAAGTTCGAATTCTGCGAAAAGTGTGAAACACGTCTCAAATGATTTTTCTAATAGATCTCTGGAAATGAATTTGAGTGCGAAACGTCACCCACTAAATCTTTGACCTCCATTTCCACCAAGGAGGAATAGATTTTTCAAAAAGTGTGAATGAATGAATGAATGAATTTAAGCATAGATCTTTAAATATGAATTTGGGGCCGATCGGATGATAAACAAAAAACTTTCATACAACCTTTCTCCGCCAATTTTCCACTGTTGCGGGTGGAATTTTCCAAATCGCTGAAATACGTACTTATTAAGTTCTTATGAAGAGCTTTAAAAATAAGTTTGAAGCAAATCGGACACAACTTAAAACGCCGCCCAAAAAATCTTTAAATCGCATTCCCCCCGAAGAAGTTTGAATTCTGCGAAAAGTGAGAAACACGTCTCAAATGATTTTTCATATAGATCACTGGAAATGAATTTGAGCGCGAAACGTCACCCACCAAATCTTTGACCTCCATTTCCACCAAGGAGGAATGGGTTTTCCGAAAAGTGCGAAACACCCCTCAAATGAATTTGAACAAAGATCTTTGAAAATAAGTTTGGGGCCGATCGGATCGTAAACAAAAAAGTTACATACAAACGTTTTTCGCGATTTTTCCACACTTGCGAGTGGAATTTCCCGAAACCCCGTCTTAACGTGCACCTACATCACATAAGGTATCTACAGTGAAAATTTCAGCTTCCTAGCTCTTACGGTTTGGGCTGTGCGTTGATCACCAATCAGTCAGTCAGTCAGTCAGTCAGTCAGTCAGTCAGTCAGTCAGTCAGTCAGGACAAACAGTTTTATATATAGAGATAAATGTGTACCCTAAAAAAAGGGTGTAAATATGCTCACAACAAAAATTTCGAATTTGTATGGAAACGGGGCAGTATATCAATGATTTTGGAACCAGCTCGTATCGCGTTGGCGATTGGGGGATCTGCGTTTAGAATTTCAAGTCTGTCTATATATACTTAGGGGGTCGGAGAAGACTCCTTCAGCCCCTTACATATATTTAGGTACGACAAGAATTCGGCTATCTTCGGCACGCCGAAGATTTAATACTATTATAAAGCAGAATCGCTTTTGTACAAAAGCTCTATATCTATTTGCAAATTTGGTGGAGATGTCTTAAAAGACATACATTTTTTCTATGCAAAAACTAATTTTGACCCATGCTTATGAGATAGCTGTCCGATATTTTACTTATATATATGAAGCATAGTGAATCGTTTAAATTCCAACCGATCAAGATATGTGGAAGCCCCATAGTAGTTTTTCATACTGATATTTTACCTATAAGCGATAGAATGACATGCAAGAAGCATGCTGTAACAAGTAAATGTCAAGTTTGTTCAGGATATCGGGGGGAAGAAAAAAGACGCATCTATATACCTGTAATAGGTAGACTGACCGATGCATATTTCATGAAGCATGAATCGAAACAAACACGGACACTCGGCTCGTCAGTGGGTAAAAATCAAGAATATGCACTAACCGCGTCAAAGCTTTGGCTTGGGGGTATCCAGATACCATTTGGTCGGTAGCGGAAAATTCATGAAACGTCTTCCTCAAAATGTAGGCTCAACGTATTCTAGGTCCACTAAAGATACAATAGATGGTACGTAAATCGACAAACAAATGGTTGATAGACATTCTGTTGCCAAGAAGTTCATTAGTGCTTATCCATTTTGGTATGTCTGACTGATAAGAGTGTCAGCCGAACGTGAAGCATCGAGAGCCGAAAGATCAATGCCAGGCAGTATCTCGCTAAGTCGACCTCATCGTCGCTGCGTAACAAAATGGCTGTAAGGAGCTTCTTAGCAATTTGTTGTCGATTTGAAGACTATCTATTGTATGCTTAATGATAGGATTGATTATTGTAAACATCGAGCTCTTGGGGAAAATACATAATTCATAAATACACTTTAAGATTAATACCTGTTTTGTGATAAGCATGTACTCAGTAAGTATGTAAAGAACGGCAGAGCGTAGTATAATTCCATTTGTTTATAATTCAAGGCCAACGTGAAGGTGAAAGCGGCAATATAGTTTCTGTTACACAGTAACGCGGCGACGGCTATAGCTAAAAATCCAAGTGATATGTTGTTGTACTGAAAGTGTCCATTGTCGATGAGAATTTGCCCCGGGTAAATTGCAAGAAGTACCAACAAATGATGTTTCAAATTTTTCTCAAAGGTGAGATCCATGCAAACAGAAATAGCTACAATAGCAGGCATATAAACTAGAATGTCCGCTGCTAAAACTGTAAGGCGCATATAACTCTTGTGTTCCTTTGTTTCAATACCCCTACTGGTGTGTAGTTCGACATAGCTGTGATTGAGTAATTTAGCAACACGGCCAGTTAGGTAACTGTGATAGGCTGTAAGAGGCGGATAATCCAAGCCCCAATACTGCAAGTCGTTATGTGTACCATTGGTATACCACTGTTTTACTTCTAAATTTGTTGTCACTTCTTGCCAGTGCCGCTGAGCTTCATAATCCCCAAACATTGGCGCTTGGTTAAATCCAGAGTAGGAGTTCATGGATATAATAGATCTTAAGGCCAATGCACCAAAAATTGCGGCTATCATTTCCGAATGCATATTGCCTAAAACAATGCTTTTATTTTTAATTAGACATAAACATGCACATAGTGATGTACCGATTAATGTAATTACGATTTACTACTCGATATTTTATAATTGTATTTTCAATCAAATTATTTTTGTATCAAATATTATCGATATACACTTGGAAGTAGTTAAATCAAATGATTGGCCGCCAATCCTTATATATCAAAGAAAGCCCTGTTCCAGCCTTTTTTTTAAAAGATTTATATGTTGGAAATAGTAACTGGACACATCAAACAGCACTTCGTTTCATAATAAATTAATATCAACATTTAGAAAAATATAATTTTTTGATTTGATTTACCTAAGCGCTGCAAAGTTTTCCCTCCACGCTTTCTTTACACGTCAAACTGCACTACGTTTCATAATCAACCAATATTAAAATTTAGATAAAATATTTTTTTTTTGATTTACCATCTTTAAATGTAAAAACTTTGGGATTAGCAAAATTTAAATGTTTAAGTGGCGGCTTACCTTCTTTGTTATATTTGTTTTTTGTGGTAATAATACTTTCATATTTTCCATAACAATCATACGAATTTCGATAAATCATCACAGAAAAACACGAATTGCTCGGAGCGAATGCCAGCATTTTCAATAAATGTTACTTTTTCTGCAGATATGAAAAAAGTATAAAGCTGCGTGAGTTGGCAAAGTTAAATTTTAATTTTTTTATTAAAAAAAAAAAAACAATGAAAAGGTATTAAATAAAGTTCAAAAAGGAGTTTAATCTGAAGGATGCATGCAATGAGTTAGAATTACAGCTTAAATATAATGAAAATAAAAAAAATTTTAAAATCAAATTAAATTCAAAAATTTATTGGACCGCTGTGACAACTGACAAACTTTCTTAACAGACTTAATCCTCATTATTGATTGAAAAATACATCGTCCCCGCTTTGCTCAGTAAAGAAATTATGCAAAATGGCAAGTATGAATAATGAGTTTCCTGCTTCTTTGAAACTGTAGTAGTCCTTTATCATCAATCAAAGTTAAATGGGAATTTTATATCTGCTGAACTCGATCAATGCTAGCTCGTTTGGGCTATGTCGAAACTATGTAAAATATCGAGTATTACCGAGTATACATAATTCCTTCCTGGCGAACAAACAAACAACCTCGTGGTTAACAGTTTTATAATATCACAAGTTGCTTGGTGTTTCAAGTTGTTTTCATGAGTAGTATTACTCTGGATCCTAAAGCAGCTTTGTAAAAAATTTGGTTTCCAGGCCATCGTTTTATTTGGCAACTAATAGGTTCGCTCGTCAACAATCACTTTACGCTCGGCAGAACGGTTAAGTATTTGCGCAAACTCGAATCCTATATGCTCCCATCGCTTAAAATACGCTGCTCCTCATTATAGTCATAAGAATTTTTGATGGGTTCCATTATATTGCCCTACTCCTATATACACGGAGCAGTTGATTAAGAAATTGGGTGCAGAACTGGGTAAAGGCCAATTTCCTAAATAATGGAAGCTCCACATGGAGTGGCCCGAAATGCATGGTTGAAAAAAAAAGGTACAATAATCTCAATTTGAAAATTACATACAAGGGCTTAGATAAAAGTGCACCTTTTTTAAATCCAATCATAATGAAACACACTGGTATAATTATATAATAATACAAATAAATTAGAAGTCTGGTTCTTGACAATCAAAATAGATTAACAAGTTCACTTAGAGCCAAACCTTCACATACATTATAACGACTAAGGGATAATCTGGTAAACTTAAATGAAATGCACAATCTTTAGTTTTATCTTCTATCGATACCAAAAACACCGATAACTTTTAATCCGACTCTCCTGCTGCAGCCTATGTGAAACGCAAAGCCACCAATATATAACACTGATAATCCCATTGTAAACATGGCACAATCCTCTGTTGGTTTTCTGAGCACAGCACTAAGGCTAATAAAATAATTTAACGAAAAAGTCGACAATCTAGAGAGTTTTCTTGAATCGACAAAAGGATCACATGCGAGATTGGCGGTATCAGTGATAAAATTCAAATCAAAAGGCTACTCAAGAAACTTGATAGAAGCTGGACAATAGTTCTGTAGTATAGAAATGTGCAGTGTTATCTGTTGTGCAGCGTAAGTCTGTTAATTATTGCATTTATTAAACGCGGCGTCAGTTCCGTGTTGTTGTTATTGTCTCTCTATTTGTGTGCACTGTTTATCGTTTCGCTCTGCGCTCTCGCAACTTCTGCTTATCTTTTAACGCTGCTAGAAAATATGTCGTGCTTTAAGAAACCTTGCACGTTCAAGCTGGTTGTGTGAGAATATGATGCATGCTAAATGTGTAGGTCTCACTTGGCGTGATTGCGACAAGATCGGTGCAATTGCCAAGAAGGGCTGCGGCGGCTTGCGTTGGTCGTGCCCAAATTGCATCGACAAGCAAATTAATTTCTCTAGAATGTATAATTCTGTGAGATTGCCCAATTACTACCACTGTTGTATCCCCTGTAGTCGTCACAGTAGTCCCTGCAGTTGAACCAGCCCCAATCAGCGAAACTGCTTCAGCCCCGTCAACTTCTGTCCGCAAAGGTAGACCTGCACGAAATCTAGCCCAGAATGTTAAAAGCAATCATGGTGACTCCCTCCAACTACTGTAATACCTTCAGCCCCATCAGCTCCTACTCTGACTGTTGTTGCCCCTCGTAGGCAAGTTTTTGTGTGTCGCCTTTCGTCTGGCACCACTTGTGAGTCATTGGCAGCCTATATTGCTAGCAAGTCTTCTGCTAGCGTGTCAATAACTAAATTTAATTTCTCCACTCCTTGTTATATAGCTTCATTCAAAATTAATGTTTCACATGATATGTTCCCAATCATTTATGATCCTAAATTTTGGCCTCCCCACATGATTGTTCACGAGTTTAAACAAAAAAAGCGAAACCCTGTCACCCTTCCTGTCCCCTCGATACAAGGTTCCGTTACTGCCCCAAAAAAACTAAATTCGTCTTCCGACCCAGTTTCCATTCATTATCAGAATATCAGAGGTCTCATTTCTAAACTTAAAAAACTTTTTATGGCTAGCATTTATTTCGATTCGGATACATGGTTAGAAACATGGTTAAGTTCAACCATATCTGATTTTGAAGTTTTTTCATACAATTTTATTTCACATAGAAATGATCGGCGGACTCGAGGTGGTGGGGTATTAGTTGCCGTTAAAGCCACCCTCCAGTCAGAACTTTTCTGTTTCACTACGCCTACTGGCGCTGAGATTGTCTCAGTTAAGATTTCTTTTCCTACACGGAATATCTATATTACATGCTCCTATGTTCCTCCTTCTTCTGATATTCAAGTTTATATGAAATATATTACTTGTATTAAAGAAGTTTCTTCACACGTGCGTGATAATGACCTATATATGGTGTTTGGGTGATTTTAATTTTCCAAACATCTCTTGGTCATTATTCACTGCCGAAAATTATCTAATACCCTCAGCACAGCATGACTTTATAGATTGCATGCTTGACCTTTCGTTGTATCAAATCAATTCAATTTCTAATAATTTGAATAGAACACTTGATCTTGTATTTGTTAACGACTACCTTATTGATAATGTGTCCAGGTCCCCTCGTTTATCTCTTCCTGAGGATGTATATCATCCTACTTTAGAAGTTGCAATGCTCAATTGCAATCCTCTCATTTTATATTCATCAGCTATCAATAAGCCCCGCCGTTGCTTTCGCAAAGGAAACTATTCCTTGCTTAATCAACGTATTAATGCAACCGATTGGTCTTTTTTATATGACTCGGTTGACACTGATACTGCTATTAATTTTTTGTATAACACCCTAAACTCCCTCTTAGAAATGTGTATTCCCAATTATGTTTCTTCGACTGCTTCTTCAAAGCCACCCTGGTTCACTCCCAGATTATCAAACCTAAAAAATATAAAATCTAAATATTTTAAAAAGTTTAATAAGTCTGGTTTGAGTACTGTCTTGGCTAAATATTCCATAGCCAAGTCGAACTTCTTTCTTCTGAATTCTCAATGCTATGAGAATTATCTAACTCGTTGCAAAAGGCAATTTGCCCAAAAACCGAGACAGTTTTACAATTTTGTATACCTGAAGCGTAAATCTTCAAGTTTGCCATCTTCTTTTTCTCTCGGGATGGATAAAGCTAGAAATGACTCTGATTCTGCTAACCTCTTTGCTAATTTTTTCAAATCAACCTACTCTTCAGTCTGTCTTAACAATAACTCTTACCCTTATACTATTACTTCCTGCAGTTCTATACCTTCTCCTATTATTTCCCATTCCTCTCTCCTTTTTGCTTTAAATTCTTTAAAATGTTCCTACTCTCCTGGTCCTGACAATATTCCTAGTTGTCTACTCAAGGAAAGTAGTTCTTTCCTTGTTTATCGATTGCTAACGCTTTTTAATCTATCCCTTGAGTCTACTGTCTTTGGAAAGAATCTTATATCATTCCTCTCCACAAGAAAGGTGGAAAGTCTGATATACAAAATTACAGGGTCATTGCAAAACTGTCCGCTGTCCCTTTATTGTTTCAAAATAATCACTTCTAATTTTCAGCATTTCTGCAAATCAGTTGTCTCCCCTGTGCAACATGGATCGGTCAACTACGACCAATCTGCTAGAATTTACTTCCTTGGTAAATGATGCTTTCCTTTCTAAAATGCAAACTGAAGTCATTTACACTGACTTTAGTAAGGCGTTTGACACTGTGCACCATGATCTATTACTCTTAAAACTTGACCGATTAGGTTTCCCTCCGTCTCTTTGGCTTTGGATTAGTTCTTATTTAAAAGGTAGGATCCAAAGAGAAGTGCTGAGGCTGACTACTTCAAAACAGGTTCACGTTACTTCTGGTGTTCCTCAAGGTAGTCATCTTGGACCTTTACTCTTAACCCTTTTTATAAATTATCTCCCCTCGGCTATATCACATGCCCGTGTACTTATGTATGCGGACGATGTGAAACTTATTCTCTCATACACTAATCCCCTACATCATTCTCGTCTACAAGATGATTTGAACGCAATGCAACTTTGGTGTTCGGCCAATC